CAAAAATTATGGAAAAGTATGTCTGTCCTTAACACAAGTCAGCCTTCCTCTCCTTCCATCTGTCTGTCTGTCTGTCTACTTACCTACCGTATTTCTGTGTGTTGGAATCAAATACAGGTACTGATCAGGCTTTGTGTTATACTCTTCTTAAACAACTTGCCTCCAGAAACTCTATGAACTTTGATAAATGTCAGTAGTTGTAGAGGGGCTACAGGGTCGCTGTGAGTCGTTCTTGACTCAAAGGCAGTCAGTAACAACAACATTTCAAATAAGGAATTTGAAATACTTTCTAAAAAAAAATTGAACACACATAATATATGGAAAACATTCTAAATTGTGTTTTTAAAAGTAGTCACTAGGGATTAAATAACTAGTTTTGTTGAACACTGAGCCTCAACCATTCTTTGGATAGTCCAAGAAAAAAAGAGCAGCGTGATTATATTCCTTCTCAAATATCTGCTTGCTTCTTTAGCATACCATTTCTTCTTCAGATATTTAAAAGAATGCAATACAGTATTTTCTTGAAGATATTTCTAGAAGATATGAATTTTCATGGATTTAAGAAGGCTATTCAGTTTTATAATGGACCATGTTTTGAAACTGTTATATAACCATTTTCTTTTATGTCTTGTTATATAATCTCCTCTCCTTTTCTTTTTCTTTCTTTCACCTTTACTTTGAGGTCTTAGCCCTCCAGTCTTTCTACTTTTATACCCACCAGAACTTTAATCCCTTAGACACCCTTGAGGTCCTGTCATGCAGGGTGTTCAGAAATTCATGTTAAACAAATGTTCTTGTGTACATTTTATGTGCTGAGTGCTGGGTATCAGATCAAATCTGTTTTTCCATGCAGGCGATTAGGTAGCTGTTGATGACTGGTTGCTGTCTTAATGAGCAAAGAAAAAAAAGTTTTTTGGTGGATAATATATTTTTTCCTTTTGTGTTTAAATTGGTTTTGCAACCAGTCTTTCATATACATTGTGTTTCATTAATGTAGGTTGTGTTTTGTACAATAATTCATGTATATTGTGCTTCAGATAATTAATTACTGTTGATCAATACATTTTATCTTCCTGTCTCATCAAATCAAATCTCCTGTTCCTTCTCCCCTCCCCCACCCATTAGTGGATGAACAGTGAGCAGGACTTCTTGATAATCAATCACTGATTAGATATTTCTCCTCCTTTCCCTACCCACTTTTCGAACCCTTCTTCTGATCTTTTACTTTGCATCAACATGTATTATTATTGTCTAAGATGGTCTATTTTTTTTAATCATTTTTTTGATCATCAGTGTTTTTTGTTTTCTTTTAGCATTGTAATGACAATTTTACTTTACTCCGTATTGCTTGAATTTTGTTAGTCATCATTTTTCTACATCTTTTCCATGTCTATTGCCTAAGTTAGTATAATTATGATTAAAAAAAATAAAGGCCCTTACAATAATAAACAATCGGGCAGAAGTTGAAAGAGTGTCTTGGCTATACAATTTAAGACAAAAATGTTAAAAATTATGAAGCCTTTCATTTAGTTTTGCCTTGAGAAGAAGGCAGCTAGCTATGGATTTATACTTGAAACGTTTCCCTCAAAATCTAGATGTTCTGGTGTGACGTTAAACCAAACAGCATAACATCAATTTGCACTTGTTACTAACTTGAAAAGACGTAGTATGTGTGTTGATCATATATATTTGTATTCCAAGTTTCAGGTGAAGAGTTGTAGAAATTTGTTTTATTTTATTCACTTTAAACTTAAGCTATGATTAGCATCAACTTTTGTTAATTGTTAGTGAAATAAAAGTCATGCTATAATTATCCATATATTCAATAAGGTTAATAAGCAATAGTTGTATAAAGAGCAGCTCTTTTGTTTTAAGGGGAAAAAAAAGGAATTCTAGTGATAAACATACCCATTCAGAAAAACTTAAGAATATTTTTCTTTGCTAATTCTGTTTAGTTTTATTAAATGAAGATAGCAAAATAGCATACTGTAATAACAGGTCATCAGTTTATATTGTTGAGTCATCTCATTTTTTTGTTGTTTTAAATAGCCCTGAAAAACCTGTGAGTGTGAAAATAAATTTTGAAGATGAACCAGTGAAGAGATACATGGATGCTGAAACTTCATTATAGAATTGAACCCAGAGGCGTTATATATGTATATGTGTGCTCTGTGTGTGTGATATGTTCTTGTATATAGCAATATTGTCGTCATGCTGTTTACGCATGACCAGTGGGTATTTTGAAGTAGGATCTGAAGTTTGTGAGCACCATGGAGATTATATATAATGAGATGATCTTCAGAATGAGGTACATGATTCTTACTGTTGAGATATTTATTCTGATAGATTTTATTTTCCTGTTCTGCAGTAGAAAGATATTGGGAAATATGTTTAAATTCCTTTTCTTCAGATATATCTATTCACTGGTGGCACTTCATGTCAGTCTTCAGTGATAATGTACTTTATTCGTATATTTATAATTTTTTTTACTTGAGTTTTGAACGTGTTTCTGAAAACTTTCGTGTATTATATCATTTCATGTAATGCTTTATGGGAATAACAGGGAGTCTTCATACCATTGCTGTGGGACAGGTGATAATGTGCTGTGGCGTGTGTGTGTGTATGTGTGTGTGTGTGTGTGTGCACATGGATGTGTGTGTTTCATTCATCTAGATGTCCATCATGTTTCACAAGCAGTGGGAGTTCTTTATTTTTGGCCATAGGAGTGAATGTATAGAATAATAGGAACTTTCTAGATAAGAACTATAGATTTAACCTTTATATTTTAAAGACTTTTTTTAAAAAAACCGCCTCATCTAGGTTTCCATTCTAAGAGATAAGTAAAATGGCAACTGATGTTTTTAACTTGACCTCCATCCTAGTTATAACTACTAATGAATTTTTGAAGCTGTAAAATGCCAGTTTTGTTCATTTTCATTGTCTTTTTAGACCTTTTCCGGAATTCGTTGTGAAATATGGGATCCTAGAATGCCTATGTGCTTCTCAGCCTTTTCAGTCTTTTACTTAAAATTGCTTCATTTGTATCAAGTTCAAGTTCTCGATTATTTTTCTATAATAAGTAGTAGTAATCTGATTAATATGATCAGAAGTGAGATTCTCTCAAATGGGTTTGTGATCAGTATTACTTTGTATTACTAAGAATTACTCTTTGTTTTATGTTTATCTTATTCTTTCTATTGTATAGAGGATATTTAATAGTTACCTACTCATTATTTCACTTTAAAATGTTTTTATTTATTTTAATTGATGTGACATTTAAATACTATAAAACATTTGATAACAGAGCAAATTTGAGTAAATTGTTAATGTAAATATTTGGTGCTCACTGCATTTATGACACATTACCTAAAAGAAAGTTGGTCAGTTTTACACCTTTGATAAAAAGTCCGGCCATATTTGTATTTTCAAAGGAAATTTTACATGTAATGTATAGCTCAGATTGATGGCATTCTTCATTTATTTCAGTATTTGATTTTTCTTCCTTAAGTTTCTTAAAAAGTTTTTCCGAGCTCTTGTTTTTAACTCCCAGCTAATCTTTTTAGTCATCTTTTCTATACTTTTAGCTCCACATAAGGTAAAGAAAGACTGCTCTTGTCAAGCCTGGAGGACTGGATGGATGGAGTTGTTGTGAAACTGATTTGGCAAGAGAATAACTAAATCAAAACCAAATAAGTATTATGAAGCCTAAAAAAATGGTGACGGGAATATGGGGCTGAAAATTTTAGTGAAATTCCAGTACTTCCTGTAACATTTGTAATTACAATACAAAAGTATGACAAGTTGATCTCATAGAGGATCATGAGAAATGCCAAAAGAGTTGATTTTTCCCCCCAAGTCTGAAGTGTTTATAATTCATGCTAAGCTATTCTTCCCTATTTGAGACCTTCCTATCAGAGTCTAGTGAAAATGATGGATTCAGCATCAGCCTCAGAAAAGAGGTTGAAAGTAGAGCTGCTTTTTCAGTCTGAAACCTAGCTGGCATCATTTGGTACTTTCTGAAAAGGAGACTCAGTTGGCAGTTGATAGAGAGTGTCACTCACGATGCTTGTACTTCTCCTGAAGTGATTCCTTCTTATTCACAGCAGTATGATCATTTCCACCCTCCCCAATATCTGCTGCTATTTTTAAACCTCGCCTCATGGACCCGAGCGAGAAACTTCCTTACGTCCTTTGCTTGTGTCTGGATATCAAAGGGTTAAGAATTATACTTCTTTTACAAGCAGTGATTTTTAACATTTAAACTGCAAACTACCTGGGATCATAGTGTTTTCTGTGATTTTATTTTCTTATGTATAGTAATTATCAGTGCCAGAGAAACCATGACTTGCAGAATACTTTGCACTCAAATGTTCTTACTAGGTTTCTTAACTGTCAATGACTTCTCCTTTTCCTTTGACTACTTGACGTACGAGATGATCTGAGAATGACTACTTCATTGATGAGCAAAGGTAACTCATGTCTGAACTAATTAACTGCTTGTTTTAATGTGGTGGTGATGTTCCACTGATTTTGAAAAATAACATCATGGATAGCATTCATTGCAAGACAGTGAAGGATTTAGAATTTGCTACGTCTGTTTCCAGATATTGCCTTAAACAGGTGTACTTGTGCAGTAGTAATTGCTGTGGACAGATTTACCTCAAGATGCAAAATAATTAAACCTGTACATACTCCATTTTCAAAATAAAATCAAACAGCCCTGCACTTTGTTAGTTCCCTTCGTTTCCAGGGATAGAGCTTAGTGCTACTGAAAGCCCTGGCCCTAGAGCTGCCCTCAGGATAGTCTGCTGTCCACCCTATTTTATTTATTTATAGACGTCTGTTTACAGAGACTAGAATGAATTCTGACGTTGACCCTCTGAAGTTTTCCTTTCTTTTGAGTGCTATTTTACTCTAAAATAGCAGGTTTTGAAAGAAAAAAAAAACACAAAACTTTTCTTAGAAAAGGACAATTCTGTTTAGTCTTTAATAATGAGAGACACAGAAGTGAAGCACATAGTCTTTGTAATGAGTGTGTGTGCCTGTGTGTGTGTGTCTGCCTGAGCGATAAACAGTTGTTGAAAAGTTGTAGCATACCAATGTTCCTATTTGCCAACTTCTCTGTAGGACAGAATTTCGTATGTGCTAATGCATGCATTTTGTTCTGAAGCAGGTTCCTTTACCATTCAAAGGGACCGTGTTGGTTTGTTTTTATTTTCCTCCAACACACACACACACACACACAGATACACACACACACACAAATTCTTTTTCTTCCATATATCCAAAATCTGTGTGTATAGATAATAGTTTTTCATTTTTCTCCTCACAAGGCAGGTTCAAAACTCTGTAACAACAAATGGTTTCTGAAACTGAGATATCATGCCATAATTTGCGTTTTAAAGGATTTTTCTGTACGCCCGTGCTGTAAAATGCTCTGTAGTTTAACAGGTCAGTCCTGCAGAAAGTGCATGGGTCTTGGATGTGTAAGCCATTGATAATAGCATTGTCATTCACAGATGTTTATATTAAATAGCAATGTTTTAAATTTATTTATGTAGATCTTATCATTTGTTCTCTTGTGCAGTTCCAATATGTGAAATGTCTTCCCCTCCCCTCCATCTACTCCAGCAATTATTTATTTCGTAGAAAGTGAAATGTAAAGACTTTTACAGGACATTCAAATTCGAATAGTATTCCAAATGCAAAACTGATTTTCATGGAAATTAGTCTTTTCTAATCTTCCAGGAAGTATAGTAAATGTCCACTCTTGGAAAGCATACAGTTGGAAATGAAATAGCCTGAAGATGATTTTTAAATTAAATTTGTATGTATCAACTTCCACAGCTGGCTTACGGTGATTGCTTAAGCCCTAGTTTGTTTGTTGTTTTTACAATCTGATTTATTGAGATTTGATTTTGTGTTGTGACTTTTCTCTTATGGCTTCGTTCTTATTCAAGATTGTTGTTTTGGCGGGCGTGGGGAGATGTGATTTGTTTCCAATGTTTACTGTGTTTAAATAAACAGATTTGAATTTTATCGTTCCTTTATATAATATTTGATAACTTGAAGTGTAATTTCACAGAACAGTTCTAATTTTTATGACTTTTATAATTACAGTGGTAATATTTTTTGTAATACAGTCCAAAGGAAATGAAACCTTTTAAATGGAGAACTGATATTTTTCATTTATATAAAGAACAATCTCTTAACAAGTCTGTAATGTGAATGATCCCGCCTTTCAAATTTATTTCATAATTGTTAGAAGAAAACTATTTTTTTGAAATGTTATTGAAGTTGAACAAGCAATAAAAGTCTACTGAATTAGTTGTGGTCATTGCATTTCCTGTGTCGGGATGGTTGGAGGAGTTGTGGAGGGAAATGGGCACTTCTTGTTTTCCTGCCTCCTAGACACTCAGCAAGATGAATTGGCAGTGGTTACAACGTCCTGAACACAGCAGAGGTTGGGAAGATAATCCAGGATCAGGCAGTTGTGTTCCCTTGTAGAACATGAGTAGAATGTATCAGGGGTGACTGGAGAGGACCCACCACTACCACTATTCCTATGCAGCTGGTTGAAGGAAAACACATAAGAGGAAATGCTAAACAAAGAAAATAATACAGTGCCTGTTTCATGATGACTTTTTGGTCGTTAATACTGGAATTAAAGCTATCGTAAAAAATTTTTAAAAGTCTTTATTTGTTATTTCTCCTTTTTTTTTTTTTGTATATACCATCAAATCAGATCTGACAGGTACAGGAGGAGATTGCCCCTCCTCTAGCACAGTAATATGGTGGATTCAAACTGCAAACGGCACACCTCTGGGATTGCAGTACAGCTTCTTGCCACTAAGCCACCAGAGCTCCCTTATTTCTCCTGTTTTAAGATGCATCTGTATAGAAATTTTGTTATATCTTACTTATTAAATTGTGTGCTGATATTTAACTCTTTTTTCCCCCTGATATTTAACTCTTACAAACTCACATCCTAATGTAGTTTTTTAAAACACTCTATTATGAGCTTTATTGAGTAGCAGATGTTCTTTATTTTCTGTTCGGCATGTCTAAGACCTTCCACCTGCATTTTCTGCACTAGAAGATTTCTGGTTTCCCATCATGAATTTACTAACC